CTCGTTCAATCCTAAACTTGAGGGCGCATACATGGTTGCAACATTTACTTTTATTCAGTAAACGTTTTTTTAAAAAGTTAAGATTTTAAGAAATAATATTTCAAATAGGTGGTTTTCCTCAGTACACTTGATAATATCCAGAGTGGGTAATTGGATAAGGACGATAACGACCACACTGTAATATGTATAGCTATACTTTTAAAGACAGACAACTTACATGGTTACTAAATTTTTGGCACGAGAAATTCTTTACATAAATATAAGATCCAGGTTTATTAAACTCAAAGAAATAACAGTTTCCACTCTAGCCGTTGCAGTAACATTACAAAACCAGGTTGTCTCGGAGAGAAACAGACAAAGCTCTTGATGCAGCAAATAGAAAATCATTTTATCTGAAATGACACTATAGCTGCCAGCAGTGTCACGGACGGCGGTCGTTTTAAGAATTTACATTTATGCAAATCCGGAATATTCCACTATTGTCGAGGGACGAGATAGACATTATCGTAATGTAGGATGGAGTGTCGTCGGAGTATTGTCGGTGTGGTAGTATTCTCAGTTAATTGTCATATTAATAAAATCTAGACATTTGCAACTGTAATAACCAAACAAATTCCCTGGGCCACAAATCTTATTATTATGGAAACCTTATCCTGAGTGAAATCACAGTTCACTGAATTTTGTGAAGTTAGAATCGAGGATGCAAAAATAGTCGAATTCGAGCCAGCATCGAGGCAAACAGTAAACAGCGTAATTCAAAACCATTCCATGAATACAATTTGATTTAAGATGGCAGCGAAGACACAAAGATAAAAATTCTAAAAGAATTAATGAAGCGGGATTAAAAAGTTACGGTTGTTCAGGAAATTTTATTATATTTCAAACTTTTCTTTAAAATTTATCCGAAAGATTCTTATTTCGAAAACTTCATTGAACTTAAAACAATGATGGAAAATATTCAATGCATAGTCCTAGAAGTTGTTCGTTCAATCTTAGTGGAACGAAACAACCTGCTCGAGGCACGTTGACCAGGATTTAAGGCCAACAAATCTGATTCAAACCAAGATTTGTGAGTACATAATTTATTCAGTAATAGTTGTTCAAGCTACGAGTCCAGAAAGTGACTCATTAAAGTACAAGTTAAGATGTTTATGGGCGAAGCAATAGTCGCATCTCACTTTATTTCATTCTCATATCTACTTATTTTATACTGCTATATGTATTTTTATTTTTTTTAAAATATTCTGCATATATTTCTAATCGAACATAATTTTTAAAACCACTGTCACGGCAATGGTACTTTACCGAACGAATAGATATAATGTGCTATTTCCTGAACTTGATGACGTAATATAGTACATGCCGGGCAATATGAAATAAATACTATAATTTCACTTTCATTCACTTTTTGTAGCGAACACCGAAGAGTCGCAATTTTGTGAAATCAGATAAAATTTCCATAACTATCATGAAAAAAGAAACAGAAAAATCTTCCCTTAATTGAAAATCGAACAATAGTAATTCCGGCATTGTAGCCGGAAGCGGAACGAACTGTAAAAAAAAACTGGAAATATAAATTACAAACTCCGCAAGCTGTAATTTTGTCTTCGCCTTGTCTTTCACCTCCGATTCATTATTTTTTTTTGTTTCAAACTGCTGCATTCAGAGAGAAGAAATCACCTGGTTTAAAGTATATCGATTTTTTTATATTAGTGAGAAGTTTAATTAGATTACTCTTTTTCATTATATTTTTTGCATTCAAGTCAAAGTATGAATTTATATTTTGGCTGTCTTTAAATATCGTGTAATACAACATAAAATTGATTGTAGGTTAAACACAAAAGATATGTAAACCCATTTAGGAAGAAATTTAAAAAACTCTCACTCGAAAAACAATTATTCGATATTCTTGCTAAATTCAGTTGCCCTTCATAGAATGCACTCAAATTTCAAATAATGTTTGTTGACAACTATTCACGTCCTTGTCTCTATACCCATAGTTGTAATTTACAAATATGTTTTTGTGACTATTGAGTAAAATGAGTGAATTTACTATGTTGGTACCTACTTACAAAGGACCCCGCACACATCTTATGGGTTTTTGGTTTTCTGTCAAACTCAATGAAAATTTGATATGTGGTATATCTTGACTTCCTGATAGAAAGTTCTGATAGGCTCAACCCGATATTATAAATAGATTTCGAGATCCAGGTAGTTTGATGTCCAAAAAATGTACACATTTCATAGGTATTCATATCTACCTGTCACCTGATAATATACCAGGATTGACTGGAATCCACACGCTCAGGTGACAGGTAGATGTTAATGTATATAAAATGTGTGCATACATTTCTTGGATATTAAACTAACTGTATCTCGAAATATATTCTTCGTATCGGATTGGGCCTTTGAGAACTTTTTATCAGGAAGTTAAGATATACCTCACATCAAAATTTCATTGATTATGACAGGAAACCAAAAACCCATAAGAGGTGTTCGGGGTCCTTTGTGAAAATATTTTCTCTAACAAAGTCTCTATTATATTCATTTTTACAATTTATTTGTAGACATATTTTCATATTCTATTTCATGCAATATCAATACTAATTTAATCTTAGTTTGCAGTAAGTTATTTTCTATATTATTACATCTTTGCTAAGTTTTGTAATGTATGCATAGTGTAACCTCGAAAAAGGAAATAAAGATTTCCGGAAGCTCTTCTTCTTCGTCTACGAACGTTGGCAATCATCAGCACTATCTGTACTCTGTCGACTGCTTTTCTGAATAGACTTGTCGTGGTTTCGCCATACCAGTGACGAAAATTCTTCAGCCAAGATATTCTTCAATATCCAGAACCTCTTCTGCCTACGATTTTTCCTCCGATTATGAGCTTGAGAAGTAGGTATTTGTCATTACTGAGTATGTGTCCGAAGTACTCTAACTTTCGCTTTATAAACGTAAACATAAATTCGAGATCATTTGACATTCTCGTTAGCACATCTTCATTGCGCACTCTGTCTGTCGAAGATATTTTCAACATCCGTCCATATGTCCACATTCCAAAAGCCTCTAGCTTTTTACACATGGCGTCTGTGAGAGTCCACGCCTCAATCCTATAATAGAGAATACTGATGACGTAGCAACGTAGTACTCGAGTACGAACAGAGAGCGGGAGACCTCGACGACGCAATACGGACTCCATTTTTACAAATCATGTTCTGGCTTGTTGAATCCTGGCACGAACCTTCTACATGATATCTCAGTCTTCATTAACTAGGTAGCTGTATAATTGGACCCGATTGATCTGTTGATTCTGTACCTGAAGAATACTTCCTCCAACCTGGTTCTTACTAATCACCATCCATTTAGTTTTTCTGACGTTCAATTTTAATCCAAATTCTTCACTTTCAGTAGCCAAATGATCAAGTAATACTTGAGGATCTTCCAGAGAATTCGCGATTAAAACCTTATCGTCCGCATACCGAAGATTGTTAATGTTCACGCCGTTGATAGAAATTCTCTCAGTGCAGTTTTCTAATGCTTTTTCAAATATTTTGTTCAAATAAATATTGAAAAATACCGGTGAAAGGATGCAACCCTGCTGGACACCTCTTTTTATTCGTATATAATCAGACATTTGTTGATTGTGCAGTCTAATTCCATTGAAGATTTGCGCTTATCTTGAGGTCTCTATCATATAGACCTACATCCTTGAGAATTTTCATCAGCTTCTCATGTTGTACCCTGTCAAACGCTTTCTCAAAGCCTACGAAGCATGCGTATACAGGCACTGAAACATCTCCACATCTTAGAACTAGCACTTGGATGCGTCTCTCTTGTGCCAAAACCGTTACAAAAACTAAATTGAGATTCGCCCGCAACTAACACTTTGCGGATATTTTTTTATGGGTGATCTTTAGAAAAATCTTGGGAAACTCAGTCGTATAGCCTAGTCCAGACCTATATACACTGTCCACAAAAAAATGTTTGGAAACATTTGCTCGTAAACAAAACATTTATAGACGTGTGAAAGTGTTTTGTTTCAAAGAACATTTAGTTTTTAAACAAGGTGTCAATTGCGTCCAGACTAAAGGCAAAAACAGGTCAGTGAATAGTGAGGCAGTGTTGGATATCTATATTTTATGTCAAGGAAAAGGAAACAAAAACGTTGATGGGTACGCGAGCTAGTTACTGTAAAACGGAATAGAACATTCTTCGAACTTATTAGGAGGCCCAAAATTCAATGATGGATCTGGATTTGAAAAATTTGTTAGAATGACTCCAACAGATTTTGAGATATTAATTCAAATGATTGGCCCAAATATTTGTAAACAAGATACAAAATACAAAGCAGTCATCCCTGTTACATTGCGGTTAGCAATAACTCTTAGATATCTGGCAAGTGGTGATTCATATATTAGTTTGATGTACACATTTCGAATTTCAAAGCAGTCCATATCAGAAAAAGTATTTGTTGTGTGCAATGCCATTGTTAGAGCTTTAAAACCTTGTATAAAAGTAATTACACAAATTAATTTTATTTGTCTAGCATTAACCTTTTTTTTGACACATGAAACCGTGAAACAGGAAAATAAAAAATTAGTGGCCATTTGCAACAACATTAAAGCAAATTTACTCTCCTTACCTTCAGTGACACATGACTATAATTTCAACAAAGCTCATTCTCTCTAAATATTGGTACAAATGGTCAAATGACGAGGTATTAAAGTAGTAAAAGTACCATGAAAACTTTATTCAAATAGAAAATACATTTAAGCGATTAAATAGTAGAAATCTAACTTGAGATCTATAAAGTTCTTGGTATTGTTGTAGAACATTTGTAGATTTTCTGCTTCCTTTGATTGTTCTGGATCGGTGGATTGATGTAGAATAATGTTATTAGAGTACTTATTTTCATACACCTGTTGACTCATACAGAGTAGACTGTTAGATTTTGGAAATTCTGTAACGTGATGAGATAATCGTGTAGACTCTGATACTGTAGCAAGTTGGGGCGATGGAGACGTCGCTGGGGAAATGCTGAGTTGTGGGGAACCCAATGCACTGAACTTACTGCAGAGGATGATGTAGTTGTACGAATGTTACAAAATTCACCCATCAATAATTTAAAGCAGATATTATCAATTGCATTCTGAGCAGATGCTATTTCCAGCTTTGATCTACTGCTGTTTCTAAATTTATTAGCAATATGTTCCTCATAAGCAGTATATTCATCACGTTTCAAAACCGTGGTGGCAAGCGTTTTCATGCATTTCAAAGCTTCACCTGCATTTGAATCATCAACTTTACTTATTTTCATTGGTACTGGAGAAATAAATTCCTTTTTCTTTACTGGTAATATGCTAGACTGATGGACGATGTATTCCTGGTGATGAATATCAACATTGGTTTCAGTGGGATTCGTTTCATCTTCATTGAGGCTGTGTGAAATGTCTTCTACAACATTCGTGGCTGTGTTCTGTGAAAAAACTATAATAAGTTTTTTTCAGATGCAGGTAAATGAAGAGAATTTAATAAACGATGGAATTTCCCCCACTGTGTTGGCGCTATGGACTGGAAATGCTGCTTTGTTATGCTCTGATGGATATGATTCCATATAAGACTATAAATAAATAAATAAATAAACGACTATATTTTCTATGCCCAGATTTTGTTACCTTAAATACAGCCTTGTACTAAAAGTTTTTTAGCTCAGGTTTGTAATTATAGTTAATTGATCTAGGAAGGTTTAATTCAGTAAGGCAGGGCCCTCTGTTATTATATTAAGGAGAGTTAGTACCATTGACTCAAGTTGGTACCGATTTCGTGTTTTCCAACCTGCAAATCTAATAAATAATTAGAGGTTATTGATAGTTGTTGTTTACCTTTTGATTTTTCAGATCCATCAATTGTAAGCTTCCTTTCAAAATTTATGAGGAAGGATCTGCCCTTTTGATTTTGAGACCTCATGGCGTGTGGTCAGTTCTTGGGCTAATTATTTTTAGCCAAGAGTTTTTGAAATTTTGTGCCAGGGAAACTCAAGTTAGACTAACTTCTTGTTGATCATTGTCTAGAGTTGTCCCTTGGTCATTTTAGATTTTGTTTCGGTAAGTTTTGAGATTTTCTTCAGGAATTATTAACCTACAACTCGTATTTCATTTTCTTCACTAGGATCGTTCCGAGCATCTTTTGGAAGTTTAAGGAGGACTCACCATACCATAACCTAGAATGAACTTAGAACTGCTTCTGTCTGGACCTACAGTGAGACCAAACTTGTTGATAACCTCACTTTTAGAACTTCCGAGTTTTCATATACTCTTGAAGATAACACTTGTTTACACATAAGTTGCACTTTTTACTATTTAGGCAAATCTTATAAAAATCACTTGATACTGAATTACGTTCAGTACGTGCCCCCTAAATAAAATTCTAGAATTTTACCCTGAGTGTGGCCCAAACAATAATATTCACCTACTTGGTGTTTAGTTTGCCTACTGGTAAAGTGTAGCTGATACTGAATTATCTTATCTTTTAAGTGTAGACATCAAACAATCTTTACTCATGTTTATTTAACACTAGTATTTTTATATACAGAGTGGCAAAAAAGTCACGCATAATAACTGTAACTTTTTATTTACCTCGTATACGAAAAAGTGACCTGGGTGAAAGTTGCTCAGTAAATTATTTCCCACATTGGTTTCTGTCATTTTTGGTTTGTTTGCTATCCAGACCAACTTTGTTTTTCCAAATGAAACACCATTGCATATTTAGATTCTACGTAAAATTCTGAGCAGATTTCATGTAATATACCCTATACCTAAGTTCAACTGTTTTGGAAATATTGACAGTTGAAAATTAACTTTTTTGCAACTTTGATAGCGTGTAAAACCTAAATGGGTAATTTTAAAGAAAAACCGATTTCACATTCCTGTCTTAGATTTTCATAAACTATCGTCAAATGATATTAATTTCAATGACAATAATTTCTCATGCTCTCGGCGAAATTGATTTTTTAGTGCCTGAGTCTTTTTTTCAATATCTGCTGCACTGACTTTGTACTTTTTTGCAAGCATTTCATATGCTTCCAATTTCTTATTGGGATTTTTATAGTCCACACACGTTACCTCTCATAAGCATGGTGTGCTCTGAAGGTCTTCAATTGAAGAAAGGGTTATTTCTTGGTTCCACATTTCACATAGCCTGATTTATATAAAAACAATATACACAACAAACACTTGTTTTGAACGCGTCCAGACTTACTTCAAAAGCGAGTATAAAAACAAAGTTGGTACTGATAATTATATCCATCTAAGTAAAATACGCTCACCTATGTTATTATTGTGGATAAGCTGAGCTAATTGTGTACGACGGGCATGACCTTGACCTTACTTAGCTACGTCCGTCAGTTCCGGTACCTCTTACAAAAATTTCTCATCTTGAATTTCGTCCGCATCCTCGAATTCGGCATCGCCGAAGTACTTTGCAATATTATGAACTGCACGTAACTACCACCTTCGGAAGATTCTCTAATTTAACTCGACAGACATATTTGAGAATCGGAAACCGCCGTTTCAGCTGTCCAAAAGCATGCTCTATAATCACTCTCTCTTTTTCCAACAATTCGATGAAAGGCAGCCTGCTCTGCGTTTTCCACAATGGAGACGGGCTTCATCAGATAAGGCATTATACCATAGCCACTCTCTCCCAACAATACCGTATTCATCATCCGCTGCATGATTTCATAAGCAGAAGAATTTTTCCAAATTCGACTGTCATGTACGGAGCCGAGCCAACGTGCAACGAAATTCATTAAAACGTAATTTTGATCACATATGGCTTGAACATTAATACTAGCATAATTTTTCCGGTTAACATATTCATCGCCAAATTGACGCGGCTTTTCAAATTCAACATGCGTGCAATCGATAGCTCCTATCGCAGTCGGGAAATTGTTGCTCGCTGCCCATTTCACTTTGGCTTCCATAATTTCGTTTTCGGTAGATGGAAACTTGATCCATTCATTCGCCTTATTCACAATGAGATCGCAACGAGCGAGATTTAAAAAAATATATTTGTTTGTTTCTTACTGCACAAAACCCATTTCCTGACAAAACCCGAACAGTCGGTCACTACGTTCGTTCGCAATACCCAATCCGTATTCACCAACTATGTCATCTATTTCTCCACAGCCAATCTTTGCATTGAAGTCTCTTATAATAACTGTAATTTCTGACTTCTTAGTCAGATCTAAGGCGCTTTGGAGTGGTCCGTAAAATATTTCAACAGTTTCATTGTAACCACTACCCTGAAAGCTCAACTTTACAAAAAGTATTTGCCTAATACAAGACTGCATCCCTACCAATCAACTATTTAGTTTAGTTAATTATATTTATATACTTTCTAAACTAATTATGATCACGTTGTGGAGACTCAATTGTTACCCTTGCAGGCTCTAGATTTTCTCACATTCGCCTGTCATCAAATCGCCGCCCGGCCTAGTTTCCCTTTAAAGCGGCCATAAAGAAGTTCAAAAAGCATTTTCGTGGTTTATTTCGTCTCTATTTAATTAAACGAGTGCCACCAAGTTCAAAGAGCAGCTAAGCCATAACGACCCTAAAATAACATTTCGAAAAGCGGCAAAAATTTTGCAGAACTGTGCGCGGTTACTACAAAACTATATAAGCGGCGGCCCCTGTGATGCGGGTTGCACTACTAAACTAATTGAGGCCAATTTTATAAACGATTTTACCGCTTCTTGTGAGTGCAGATTAGTAGGGAAAGTTTACGTTTTCCTATTCGACTGCTTAATATAATCGACTTAAGTGAAAGGGGATTATCTAATGCGGCACGAGGAAAGTCTAGCGGTGCAGTGTAAATTTAGCACACACCTTGATCGGCTCCTAAATGAAAAACTCCTTTTCGCACTTAATTTAAGCTAAAGTACCCTCTTTTAAAAAGAAAATCTTTCGCTAAACAGAGAGCAAAGTTCTCATTTAATGGGATCATAAAGGAAAATGGTTTCTGGGTTTTGCACTTAAATGCAAATGTGTAGCTAGTATTGAAATTTCAAAAAGAAAAATATTCCTAACTGATCTCAATTCATATGTCGACAAATGCTATCTTCATAAAACTAATAAAATACAACTTTTCGACTTCAAAAGGTCGCCTATTTGTAAATAATTCACCTTCTTGAGGGCCAAGCTTTCCTCAAACATAAAATTAACAAAACAAAAAAATTCGCTCGCATTTTTCCCTTAGAAAACTGATTTTCCTTTCGAATATAAAGATCAAAAATTCTTGAATCTTCTCAAAGGACAATTGAACTTTGAGAGGAGATTTTTCAATTTTTCGTCAAGTAATCTCAGTCTAGTTAAAACGAGAATGCAATAATGCAGCTCTGAGAACTTCTAAAAGACTGCTCGAGAAAATATATGTGTACAAGGGCCAAAATTAAATGTTCATACATCTTTACCTTGTAATGACCCGGGAAAAATAGATCCGTTATTTACAATGTCTTAACATTAAAAATTAAATGTAATCAAATAATTAAAAATTAAATTTCCAATATTTCAAATCAGTATCAATAAAACTGGAAAATGATTAGTGCTGAACCCAAATTAATTAAAATATTTAAAATGCGTTCAATTTCTACTAGCCAGTCATCAAGTTAGTTGAACTCATTATAGCGCCCTTTCGGTTTTTCTCTCTTGCTTTAACGGTTATCTCGGGTGCCACCCTCAGGATTATTGTGGTTGAGGGTCCACTTGCTCCAGGTAGCTTGTTACAGTGGAAATCAGGGGTCGAATCAGATGCTGGAAGTTATTCCCCCTATACCTCCTGTAAATCCTTCAGAAAACTCCAAAAGAAGACACATGAATGAAGTATAAATAATATCTAAGAGTAAACTATCCGTACACATGAACCGTGATAGTTTTTAGAACTTTACACTATGTCGTGACAATAAAACATGAACCAATATATGAAGAGAAACTGTCCGTACACGTAAACCGTGACAGCTATAGAACTTTAAACTTTGTGAAAATAAATATCTTAGAGAAAACTGTCCGTACTCATAAACCGTGACAGTTTATAGAACTTTACTTTGTAAAAATAAATATCTTAGAGAAAACTATCCGTACACATAAACCGTGATAGTTTATAGAATCTGAAACTCTGTCCGTCCAAGTGAACCGTGACAGTAAAAAAAAAAAAACAATATAATTTACCAACCAAGTATAAATGAAATAGAATATTAAAATACAAGTTGCAGAAGGCCCGGGAATATTGGCACGAATTCGAAATTTGGACACGAGCGACGAAGGAGCGAGTGGACAAACAAATGAGTTCGAGAATAGCCTTCTGCAACGTGAGTTTTAAACTATTTTCTCGATTTTGAAAATTATTTTTAATTTTTTTTAAATTTTTTGTGGTCGCTGTTAGTTGGGGATTATTTTTTTTTTGCAAAATATGTCAGTTGGT